GGGAAAGAGAGGGATTTACAGAATCCCAGAAGAACCAGGGAATAATAGCAGTGTACCTAAGGACAGGAGGAGAGTGGGTGAGGACCAGGGATACAGCAGCAAAAAGATTTGAAAATGGTCAGGGCATTCAGAAAAGCAAGGAGGCTGTCCTCAAAGGCAGTGGCAGAAAGGCAAATCTAAGAGTGTAGACCTCAAGAGGTCTGAGACAGGAACTGCTGCGCCTGTCCCTCCGTGTCACCCTCCATGTCACTCTCCTCCTCACCACCACCTTTACACCGCTGCCCTCCCGGTTCCCATTGACTGCAGGCAGTGAAATACAGAAAGCATGAGATGAACTAACTGGGATGGAAAGGGGAAGACCAAGAGTCCCTTCAGAGCAGCTGGGGAACCTGCAAGCCTCCTTTCCTGCCGAACAAAGACTTTGATTGCACTTTGACCCTGCCCTCAGCGCTGTTGCCTGTAGCTGCCAGAAGTCAGATCTCCCCCTCACCAAAGGGTCCTTGAAGTACATGAGCCTGCGGTGATCCAGCGTGAACCAGCGCTTCTTAAAAGCCTCTCTCTGCTGTGAAGGGAAGAGGTGACATACGTAAGGGGACAGTGCCCTCTGCTGTGAGCAGTGCGAATGGATATCCAAAATTCATCCCAACCACTTGAACCAAGCCCCTGTCTTCACAGCAACCTCTTCCTCACCCTTTCTGAGCTGAGAGTGGGGATCATTATCGGATTTTTCAGTCCCCACTGCTGTTCCCAACTCTTGGACTTCTGTGAAGGACTCCAGAGTTGAGACAGGAGAAATCTAGGTGCTAAATACCTGGAAGGTCATGCACACACTGACACAGGCAGAGAGATCTGTTGTTCTGGGAGAAAGCAGGGACTCTGGCTTCATCTACTTTCACATACGTCCTTCCCCTTCCTTTTATTCTCCCCTCCCTTGGTGCACACACACTGTTCCCATGGGTGTCTAAAGAGTCAGGGGGAATGGGGAAACAGCAGGAGAAAAACACTGAAGGTCAGTGGTTCTCTGGCCAGTCCCTGTTAGATTTTTTCTCCCACAGCAGCTTACCTTGGGACCAGTCTTCTCCATGTATCCCTCCTTCAGGAAGTTTCTTGTCAGTCGATTTTTAATCT